AAAAAAAAAAAAAAGAATTGTGAGGCTGGTGCAGGACCAGGCAGTGTTTCTGTTGTACAGAGGGTCTATGAGTTGGAACTGACTCAATAGCACCTGCAACAACATCATTTATCACTCCATTTGTGAGATTTTCATTTTCTTTCCAATGAAGGCTATAGTCTTTGACCTTCTTCAAGTTTTATTTTCAGCAAGCAAGGCTGTGTCATCTGTGCATAGTAGGTTAATAATGAGTATTCAAATCCTGATGCCACATTTTTCTTCATATGGTCCAGTTTCATTGATTATTTTCTCAGCAGATTGAGTAAGAATATAATCCTGCTGCACATATTTTCCAATTTAATCCACACAGTATCCCCTCATTCTCTTTGAATGACTGCTACTAGATCCATGTATTGGTACCAAAACCAAAATCCAAACTCACTGCCATTGAGTTGAATCCGATTCACAGCAACCCTTCCTTGGGTTTCCAAGGCAATATCACTATGGAAATAGATTGTGCAATCTTCCTTCTGAGGAGTGGCTGGTGGGTTTGAAATGCCAGTCTTCTGGTTAGCAGTCAAATGCCTTAGGTACCACATGAGCACAGTTTAGTGTTCTGGAATATTCATTCTTCATAATGTAGAAGAAATTAAAAAAAAAAAAACTTTCTACAGTTATGCTCTAGTGTCATAATCTTTATAAGATATTCCTCCAAATCCATTCACTCCCTCTACTGCCTTCTGTGACGTGTTTCCTATCTTCTACCACCCCTCCTTAATTCTTTTCTATGTCCTTTTACTCTAACTGTACTTTTCCTTCAAAATTTTATTTTGTTGCTGCTGCTAACTTCATTTTTTAAAATCACATTTAAAAATCAGTTAATGAATGTAGAAACTGTTGAACTAGTGTATGTTCTGCTATGTACATTCACAATAAAAATATTATTTTTTCAATAACTATTTTTAATATATTAGGAGCTCTGGTAGCACAGTAAAGGCAAAATTAAAAAGCAAAAAAAGAGTCAATGAATTATTTTTACCCCCCAAAAAAAATCTAGGTATAAATAAAATTAAAATGAAACCTAAAAATTTAGTAGAGTAGCAAACCACTAAAATGAAAAATAATTCTAGGTCTTGTCAAGATTATCCCATAGCTCTTTGAAAGAAAATAAACCACATACTACAGCCCAATTATATCCAATTAGTGCTTCCATTACTAAATTTATTAAGTCAAAATTTTAATAAATTATCTAATTTTCAGGCCTTAAAATATCATTTGCTTTGGAGCAATCCAAGTACACTCTGGTTTCAAAATGTAGATATAAATAAGAAGGTGGATTTTGATCATCCTTAAAGGAAAAAGGGTGAATGAGAAATAATTTCACAAGTTTTTAGACATTCCAACTAAGCATTAATTTATACACACAAATTCATGTGTTTATTAAAAGACCACGTAAATTGCCACTTGCCATATACACCAAAGTGAACAAAAATGTATGCTGATTTAATGAAGCATTCTGCTGCCACGTACTTTATTACTGGCACATACTTTAGTGGAGAAGAAAGGGTTGTAAAACACAAATCTGCCCTGACGTAAAATAATAAACAAATCTAACTCATCAAGGTCAAGTTGATTTCCACTCACACTGACCCTACAGGACAGAGCAGAACTGCCCCATAGGATTTCCAAGACTGTAAATCTTTACAGAAGCAGACTGCCACATTTCTCATGGAGTGGCTGGTGGGTTCAAACTGCCGACCTTTTGGTTAAAGTGCTTGCAACCAAGCACTTAACCACTGTGCCACCAGGGTTCCTAGATAAACAACTATACTCACCGATATATATTCCAAGTGGCAACAGGCAAATTGAGAAGAAAGATGAACCAGTGCAATGAAACGAGCATTAATACAGTGACAATGGTATGGCCAATCAATTCTGGAATTACCCACTGTAAGGGAAGAACATAGTATTACATCTCTACAGCTGTGTCTTGACTACACATGTTATTTGAAGCCAAATCAATGGATATAGAGAGAACTCACAAGCCATTATTTCAAGATTATTTTCAGAGTCAGATGTCCCAGATTTGTATACTGCTTACCCCATGCAAATATATTAGGGCACAGTTTAAAAATAAAGCACTTAAATTTCAATACATTTTATGCCTGTAAAGGTTTACATTCACTAAGTAGGTTTTGAATGACAACCAACGAGGGAAAAAAAAAGACACTCTCTATTTACTTTTTATTCCAATAAAAAGCCTCATACTCTAATTTGGGATGGCTGATATCCACATATAAGCTACCTTTCAAGTGTTACTATCAACTTTAACCATTTTCCAATCTCCAGAATCGTTAAGAAAATTATTTCACACTAAGGAAAAAAAAAGGGGGGGGGAGTAGCTCTAACAGTTTACACTGACAGCTCAAAACTGACCAAACATGGTAACGAACACGGATGCCAGAATCCTAAGCAACTGGCTTTGTAGCATCCCACGGCCTATCCATGCTACTTTTGTTTGTTGTACAATTTTCTGTTCTCAAGCATCAACCACTATTGTGACAGGGTTCTCTTAAAAAGTATAGATTTTTTAAACGGAAGCTAATATTCACTGAAGTAGAAAATGGCACTCCCCAGTTTGAAATATAAGGAAAACAAAACTCAGAAAGGTTAAGTAACTTACCCATGGTCACAGAGCTACTTAGTGGCAGAGTAATATACTACAAATCCAGGAAGACTCATCCTATATCTCTTGTATGTAGACACACTTTTTCTAAACCAAGGAGAAGAGATTTTCTGGGCCTTAAACCTAATTTGCAATCAACTGGAACTTTCTAATATGTAACATGCATTTTTAAAAATATAAAATTAGACTTCCAGTAAGATAGAGGAATAGGCAGACAAGTTACACAGACCCACTTCAACAAAGAAATGAGAAACCAATTGACAGATACACAGAAGATAATCCTGGAGCCCTGAGCTTTGAAAGGAAGTACACAGAAGCAGATTAGACACCAACAAGTGGAAAAACCTGAACAAGAACAGTGAGTACAGAGATGGTCGGAGCAGCGGACTGTCAGCTACTCTGATGGGACCAACAGCCTGAATATTTCCAAATGGTGTTGGGACCTGAGAATTGACCTAAAGATCCGCCCTGGTCACCAAGGGCTGCAGGGACGACTGTGCTGGTGGCCTATGACTAGGAAGGGAAACAGTAAGGAGGGAGACAACCTGAGCTGTGGACTTTCTGCTGTTCAGAGGGTACAGCCATTTTGGATATTTAAAGTGACTGAGGGTCGAGACATTTTGAACGTTTACAAGTGGCAGCCATTTTGGATATTTAAAGTGACCGAGGGCACAGTCACTTTGAATCTTTACAAGCGGAGGCCATTTTGGATATTGTGGTGGTTAAGTTTGTGTGTTGACTTGGCTGGGCCTAGTTGAGTAGCTGGGCAGCTGGTGGTAGTTATTCCCCATGATGAGACTGGCAATCAATTCCATGTTGGGAAGTACCAAAAGCAGCTAAGTAGCTGCTTTAGGGATGTGGTCTGCTTCCTGCATATAAGAAATAGCTTTGGGACTGGTCTCTAGCTTATGGCATGCTTGAACTCTACATGCAGCCATTATCGTTGTTGAGTAGTCTGCCATGCTCTGCCGACCTTGGGACTTTCAATGGACTTGAATGAATGGCCTGCCACGTGGTTTGGTAACATTGGGACTGTGCCATTTTATTTGTCAACCTTGGGCTTGTTAGCCTCAGCAGCCAGTAGCTGCCCAAGTGAAGAGATGCCTCTAGCTTCAGTGGGCTGGGAGCAAGAGGCAGAGCTGAAGCCAAAGGTTTTCACATAGGCCCTAGAGCCTGGCACTTTGAACCTCCAAACTGTAAGAGAATGAACTCCTGTTTGTTAAGGCCATCCCATTTATGGTAGATATTCTTGTCATAACAGCACTAGGTAACCAGAACAGAATATGATACCAAGAGAGTGAGGTGATGCTCTGACATATACCTAAAATGTCAAACAGGAATGGAGTGCGTCCGTGACCCAAGACCCTGGCAGAGAGATCCTAACGTACGGCATGAGAGATGGCACGAGCAAAGCCGAGAAACCAGCATGAGAGACAGCAGCAGCAGAGCCCAGAGACCAGCATTAAACAGCAACAGGCTTACCAGCCTACAGAGGAGAAAGCTGGGTGCCATTGGGTAGGCAGCTTCCTGGTGGAGTGGGTTGCCTTTGGGCATTAATTGGTAGAACAGACCGGCATGCGATGGAGTAGCAGGTTGGCTGGCCCACAGAGCAAGAAAGGTAAATGTCCTTTAGGGCAGGAAGATTCCTGGCAGAGTGAATTGCCCTCGAGCATTAATCGGCAGAAGTGGAGAGATCAAGCAAACAGGAAGCAGAGCTGCCTCAGCCTCAAGGGTAGGACCATGGCCTTTGTGGGTGGAACCACCAGAGCCCCATAGGTTTCAAAGAGCCAGACCTTCACCAACTTGGTTCTGTAGTGTGGGGCTGTTGGTTTATGTGAGCCAGTGGGATGGAGACACAGCCACTGCACAAGAGTGAGGGGGCGGGGCTGCCATGCCCAAGAGAAGAGGAACGGGCCACCAGGCCAAGGGGGTCAGGTCGCCACTTAGAGGAACTAGGGGACTGGAGCCACCCAGTGAGAGAGATCTGTACAGATGCCAAGTTGACAAGGGGTAGAACTGTGGTAGTTCAGTTTGGGTGTCAACTTGGCTGGGCCTGGTTGAATGGCTGAGCAGCTGGATGCTGTATTCCCCATGACGAGACTGGTAATCAACTCCATGGTGGAATCTACTGTGAGCAGCTGAGTAGCTGCCTTAGGGACTGTGGTCTGCTTCCTGTATATAAGCAGAAGCCTTGGGGAATGGTGTCTAGTATACGGCACGCTTGGACTCTGCATATAGCTGTGCCGTTGTTTAGCAGCCTGCCATGCTCTGCTGACCTGGGAACTTACAATGGACTTGAATTAATGGCCTGCCATGTGGTTTGGTAACACTGGGACTGTGCCTTTTTACTTGTCAAACTTGGGTTTGTCAGCAGCCAACAGCTGTCTGAGTGAAGAAAAGCCTCTAGCTCCAGTGGGCTGGGAGCAGGAGGCAGAGTTGAACTCCAAGGCTGAGGGGCTTTCACCCAGCCCCTAGAGCCTGGCGCTATGAACTGAGACTTAATGCCTCCAAACTGTAAGAGAATAAACTCCTATTTGTAAAGGCCATCCCATTTGTGGTGTATTTCTTGTCAGAGTGGTACTAGGTAACCAGAACACTTCCTAACTTGAACAACAATGAAAGTGCAAGCACAACTGAGCAAAGTCTTCAATTCTGAAAGAAAAATCTCTTCCAACCTAGAATTCTGTACTCTGAAAAACTACCAATCACAAGAGTAAGTACAAGACATTTTCAGACATGCAAGGCTTGAAAATTTAATTTCCCAAGTATCTTATCTCAAGAAGTTACTCCAGTAAAATGATGTAATTAAAAACATGATTCTCCAAGAATCAGGAGATCTAGAACAGGGGTCCCAGGATGAAAGGCATGACACAGGCCCAGAAAGCAGCCAGTCCAAAACGCAGAGCAAAAGGATGGCGATCTTTAGGAGAAATGTCACCAGGGAAAAAACTTAACTGATCGGTAATTTTAGTATGTGTGACTATGTAGAAAATAGTACTGAAGGGCTTTGCAGATGATTTGGAAAGATTTAGTAACAGGTAAATAGAAATAAAGAAATGCGGTAATTATTAACATTAGGAAAGACAAAGCTACCAAATAAAAAGAGAAAAATGCAATCACTGTCTACTGTGAAGCCCAGCAATAAAACATATTATTATAATACTACATCATAATGATGTAAACATTGAATATAAATTTAGCCAGGAAAAAACAGAAGATGTTTGCGGTTGGGGTACTTATATCTAGACTTTAAAGGGTCAGAAAGGGACTGCTGATTTTCACTATAAGCTTCATATTACCTTTGACTTCAGCTGTGTACAAGCATAACTTTCATAAAAATAACAATTAACATTAAAAAATATAATAATTAAACTCAAATCAAAGGAGTAACTTTCTCAGCAAAAGAATCTAGGTAATATTCTTTGTACTGATTTTTATTTTTATAAAAGAAAACCCACAAAATACCTAAAATATTAATTAAACAAGAAATATGAAGTGATACAGATGATCCACTTGATTTAAAAAAAAAAAAATTCTTCTAAAGATGAGGAGAAAGATAGTTTACTAGAAATTTTAACCGTCCAAGTGTAACTTCATTCTTTCATGGGCCAGAGAAACTTAAGCACACTGAAGATGTGAAAAGACACATGGGCATCATTTTTAGGTCAAGCCAAAAATCACCTCTTAGTACTGTATTTTTATATGAACTTTCATCTTGAAAGCTTTTCTGTATGCTCATCTCATAAAGTAAATGAGGACCAACTGGTTTCCACGTATCTAGACAATCTCTGCAAGTTGAGAGTATTCTTGCCAATATAAAGTTCTGACTAAACTAAAGATAAAATTGCTTTAAAACAAATCGGCCAATTAATTCTATTTTTCAGCAAGCCACACAGAGGTCTTCTTTCATTCAACTAAAAACAGACAGACTGAACTTTTTTTCCTTGAGTGTGGAGGAGGGGGTTTGGACACAGAAGACAGTAATTACCCTCATAATGAACCCTTGCCTAGCTTAAGAAATGATGTCAAGGGTACATGGAAGAGGCAGAGTAAAGAAATCAGATCTCCAACTCATGAATCCTAATATGAAAAGAAATCTTATTATAATTTCACTGCAAAACACAGTAGCTCAATCAACTTCACGTGAATAATAGATAATGTGCATTCTAAAAATCAAATACATACATATATATACATGTATATATATCTTGAGTAGCTATAATAATCTTTAAACACAGAAAATAAAAAGCTGATTTCAATACCAGAAAATGAGCAAAGAAATATCTTACCTTGTTTAATTTTGAGCAACATGATCTAGCGTTAATGTAATCACATTCTAAATCAGACAATGTAATTATCTGAGGATCAAGATAAGGAATGATTAGTTTTATGTAATGACTAAATTTTTTAAGTTTTAAAAAGCAACTGGGGATAATCCTGTGTTTACTTAAAGGTAACTCAATTTTCTTATTTATGTTCTTCTCAACAAATGATTTTCACAAACAATCCTTTTATTATGCTCAGTTCTAATCTGATCCATACAAGGAACTCAAACTCACTTGGTCTGAATTGCTCAAATGTGTACTAATGGCTATAAGAAACAGAAAACAACACCCATAAAAAAAGTTTAAATGTTAAGAGGCTGAATTCCCAATAGTAGGAAAAGTGTTTGTTTATAACATATCCATAAAAAGTCTTTGAAGACTTAGGATGTGAGTAAAGAAAACAGAATATGAAACTGTAAATAAAGCATAGTCATACGTTGGTAGTGGTTATGTCTCAAAAGTCAGATTACATTTGATTTCTTTTCCTTAATACTTTCCTGTAATTTTCAAAGTTCCCACAGTAAACACATTTAGTTTAATACTGAAATTAGGCCAAAAATAATTTTTAGTATAAAATATAAACCTACAAATAATAATGTAAGGGAGGCAGACGGACATAAAATGAAAAGTAAGACTCTTTAATTGAGTGATACAAAGTTTAGGAATTTACTTTAAAATCCCTACCATCTCTACCCTCAGTAGTTGGGGAGAAGAGAAAAAATAATGGCAAAATGTTGAAAATCACTAAGGTGAGGCAAGGAAACATGAGGTTTTTTGCACTGCTCTATTTTTGTTTATGTTTGAAAATGTCCATTAAAAAAGTAAAAGGAAGTATTCTCAACTAAATATTAAACACTGATATCCCCCTATCACCTCAACACATCCAAAATTAAGCTTATCACTTTCCCCACAAAATTGCTTCTCCTCCAATTTGTCTTATTTTTGTCAACAACCTTCAATCAAAAAGAAATCCACTTAAATCTGGTGAGACTCCCAATACTATGGCCCTGGAATACATTCTACACCTGGAATAAAACTCACCACCAGGGGCGGGCTCTCAGCCCAATAGTTAACAAGATGTACACACAGACCACTCAACCCAGGATGCTGCACCCACATACTCTATGGTAATACATTCCTTAGAGCAAATAGACCATGGGACACCAGAGGACCAACATTCAAACTGAGGAAATGCAGGACAAACAGGAGTACATAAATATGAGGGGCACAGGGGGAGAGTTGCAGGGTAGGGAGGGGAGGAGACTGGGTTAGGGTTGGACATGGCGAATAGGGAATGAAACTAAATGTACACGTCACGTTGAGTGTAAAACAAGCTCTTAAAATAAAAAAAAAAAAAAAGAAATCCACTGTCATCAAGCTGACTCAGACTCACCGCAACCCTACAGGACAGAGTAGAACCGCCCCCATGGGGTTTCTAAGGCTGTAAATCTTTACAAAACAGACTGTGTCACCTTTCTCTCACAGAGTGGCTGATAAGTTCCAACCATCATCAACCTTTTGGTTAGCAGCGGAATGAGTTAACTGCTATGCAACCAGAACTCCTTCAATGGCCTTACAAACTCAAAATTTGGAATGCTGTCTGCCACTCCACAGAAGGAAGACTGGGCAATCTACTTCCGTAAAGATTTACTGCTTTGGAAATCCAATGGGGGTCGCTATGAGTTGGAATCGACTCAATGGCAGTGGGTTTTGGTTTTGAGTCTTTGCTTTCTACGTCCTATCACATAATTAGTCATTACAAGGTCTTATTAATCATTTCTTCTTACTCACCTTAATCCCTGTTTTCATTTGCTCACAGTTAAGACTGTTTCAAATCCAGATGAACCTTTGCTCTAAACAGTCTTATCTTCCAGTCTGCCCTGTTTCCAACCCCCACTGAAGATTTATCTTCTTAAAGCAGATTCATCTTCACTTTCCTAACAGACCTCTTTATGCCAAAAACTTTCAACGGTTCCCTATTGCCTAGAGGATAAAAGTTAAAGTCTAGCATTCAAGGTTACCAAAATTTTATCTAATTCTACCCTTAATTCTGCCTTTCCTACCTGACCTTCTACTATAGTCAAAATCAACCATGTGCTCCAAGTGGTATACTCATTACCACCACCACCACCACCACCCACTGCTGTGCAGTAGGATCCGACTCATAGCGACACCTTCTTGGGTTTCAGAGGCAGTATCACTACAGAAGTAGCTCTGCTAGTGTAGTGCCTAAGGCTCCTGACTGCAAACCAGAAGGCTGGCGGTTCAAACCCACCAGCCACTCCTCGGAAGGAAGGTTGAGCGATCTACTTCCTTAGAGATACTCCCTCAGAAACCCAAGGAGGGGTCACTATGAGTCCAAAACGACTCCACGGCAGTGAGTTTGGTGTTTTGGATTTTTTTGGGGGAAGTAAATATTTCCCCCCACCACAAAGAAAACAAAACTGAGGCTCAGAGAAGTGATGTGCATTGTCAATAACTAGATGAGCAAGTAATTCGGATTACAAAGTTTGCTCCTTTCCACTAACTATAAAGCACATAATAAAATATGAAAACACGCTGAAAAAAGAGTCTGTACAACAAACCAGCATGATCTGGCAAATAAAAAACTTAACTCGGTCAGAAAGGGGCATGTGATAATTTTAAAAGTTGAGACGACTGGAAACGAAAACATGTGCACAGCTACTCAATTTCCAGAACTCCAACTGCCAGAGGCAACCAAACTACCAGATGTTTTTTAAAATAAATTCTTCCTAAAATTCACTACAAAAGAGCATCGTGAAGAAAGCAAATTACCCCTTTAGAAATGAGTCAACTCCTGGATGTGAACGGTCCCCTCAAGTACCAACACCCGCGAGAACAAAGACGACGGGGGGAGTTGCCCCGAGACTGACAAGAGGCGGCAAACCGCCTCCGCTTGCCCTAGCGCCAGACTGTCAGCTAGCGACCGCGACCTGACGTGGGTACGCGTTCCCAGGACGCTGGCATCCGACAAAGGGCCCAGCTTGGGGGCTCTTCACGGAAAACCGTGCCCTTTCTCTCCGGAGGGCCCAAAGGGCAGCCAAAAGTGGGCCCTCGCCCAGGACAAAACTCAGCCGGGGCGACGAAGCTGCCTGCCTATCAGGAGGAAGGCCCGCTAGGACCACTGGGTGAGGGGAGGCCAGCAATCCACGCAGGGCGGAGCAAGGCCGGGCCAAGTAGGGCAGCCCGGGCGCACCTCCGCTCGGGCTCGCCACACCCCTCCAGGCTGCCTGCGCCGCGAGTCAGTGCCCGAGGAAGCCGCTCCCTGCGCCGGGAGCTTCCCTAGCACCCGATCACCTGCCCTGGTCCCTAACCGGGCCCACCCTCAGCCTGGCTCCTCTGGCGGCGGGCCCCAGGCCGGCCTACGCTCGCTTCCGCCCGCCTCAGCCAAGGATACAAAGTAGACGGAGAGGAAGATGAGCGCACAACAATCGAGGAGCGAGAAGACGAACACTACCGCCTCCATCCTCCCGGTCCTCCGCCGCCGCTCCTTCCGTCAAACCTGCTGCAGTGCCCGTACCCTACCCGCCCCGCCCCGCCCCTGATAGGTCCTTTTCCCGGCCTGCTGGGGCGTGTAGTCCGGCATGCCGGGAGTTGTAGTTGAAATTTTTGAAAATTCTAAATTCATAATCCTGATGCATGGTGGGAAATGTAGTTTATTAGTACGGATCCTTAAGTAGGGCTCCTGCCCTAAATATGATTATTTCCAGAAATTGTGACAAGCAATTACTCCCTGCCGTCTAGTAGATTTCGACTCATAGCGACCCCTCCTTGGGTTTCCAAGATTGTATCTCTAAGGAAGTAGATTGCCCAGTCTTCCTTTCAAGGAGCGGCTGGTGGGTTTGAACCACCAGCATTCTGGTGGTTCTGGTTAGTAGTCAAATGCCTTAGGCACTAGGCCAACAGAGCATGTGACAAGCAATTATTGAATGGATGTTTGCTGAATGCTTATAATCTGCTAAATACGCTGTAGAATGTATTGGCCATGTGTTAAAATATCATATTCTCTGCCCTCTGCATCCCTGACCCAATTGGGAGTGGTAAAGGGTTTTCACCTCAACGCATACGTTTAACTTCAACACTCCTGGCTTGATACTTGAGATTTATACTTCCTGATCTCTCTTTCTCCAGAGCTCTCATAGCCCCTTGCTTATCCTCTGTTACAGAAATGTCTCTTTCCCCATGGACTTCAAAATCATTGAAAACTGAATACTTACTTGATCTTATTCATCCATTCATCTAACAAATATTTGCTGAAACTACACCTACAATATGTCAACAATTTCTGTAGACTCTGGAGATAGAGATATAAACAAGGCAGACAAGGTCCCTACTCTCCTGGAGTGGGTGGGAAGAATAGGCAAAAAACTGGCAGATAAATACATGAAAAAGATCATTTTAAAGGATATCAGCTATGAGGAAATTATATCAAAGTCATTTATTTATTCATAACCAATATTTTTTTAGCAGCTACACCTACTCTACACTTACTATTTTAAGCAACATTTTGCATTTAGGACAATAGTGAAAACATCTACTATCTGACAACTTTTTATGTTAACAATGCACGTCTGGCAGTAACAAATATTGAGGAACAAGGCAAGAGTAATGCTGGCTGTGATGATTAAGGTTATGTGTCAACTTGGCTGGGCCATGGTTCTCAGTGTTTTGGCAGTTATATAATGATGTAATTTGGCAGTTATATATTGACGTGGGTATCCTCCATTTTGTAACCTATTGTTGCATAACACCAATTTTTGCATAACAACCTGGTCTTTGGAACATAATCATGTCAGGAAGTTAGGAGTGGGATCATATGGTAGGTACTGTTGTAGATCTTAGAGTGAACAAGAGAGAAAAATTTTCTATGTTCCTGTAGCTTACATATGTGTGAGGGCACTAGAAAACTGAGATGCTTGGCATTATTGAAAATGACTCACCTGGTCTGAATCAAAACTCCATTTTTTGAATTAGGCTTTAGCTTGTCCTAAATCTTCCTTTCTGCCTTCCTAAGAATAGAACCTATGGTTTAGAGCCTTAATGATATGTAAAACTTCTTGTAGAACTTTAACCACCCTCAGGAAACAATGGATAGTTGGTGAAGAAATGTTTGTCAGGAAAATGGTTGAGATAATCTTGGGAGAATGTGCATGTCCCAGAAAAAATATAGATAGATAAATATTTCAGAAACTTACTTGCTAGGTTGATACTAAGAAATCTATGTTAAAAATAAATCAGATATCCTTGTAGAATTTTAACTTGCTAGAGTCTTATGGCTATACATAATCCTAAGCATCCATGATTGTGGCCACATACTCCCTTCTCTCCTTTGCTATATAAAAGCTTACCTCTCCCTCAGAATGTTGGAACACTTGGTACTTTTGTATTTTCACCCTCAATAAAATTCTTTTGTTCACTTTTACAGAATAGCCTCTTTTACTCTTTAACACATTACAGTGAGGGAGATGGACAATCTATAATGTCAGGCAGTTGTAAGTACTGTGAAGAATATGTGAAAACATTTTGTAGACTGATCAGAGAAAACTATACTGAATATTTACGGTGAAATGTGAATAACAGCTATGTGAAGATTTGCAGGGAAAGCATTCCAGACAGTGGGAACAGTGATTGCAAAGGCCCTATTGCATGTACAAGCTTCATGTGTTTAAGAAAAACAAAAAAGATCAATGTAACTAAAGCATAATGAATAAGGGTGAGAGAGTTTTAAGAAAAGGTCAGAGGAAAGTGAAGATGGTGGACTAGGCAGAAAGACTGCACAGACCCTCTTCAACAAAGAAAAGGGAAACCAATTAACACAGACACAGAAGATAATCCTGGACCACGAGCTTTGAAGGGAAGAATATAGAAATGGATTAAGCAAATAGCAGAAGAATTTGCATGAAAATACCAAAAAAGAGACAGACCGAGCTGCGGTCTGGCAGCGATCCTGAGCAACCCTGACACCATGGCACAGACAGCTTTGAGAGTGCCGAGTGGTGGTAGGACCTAAGAATTAACCTAAAAATCAGCCCTGCTAGCCAGGAACTGCACAGAGGACTGCTCTGGTGGCTGGGAATAAACGGAGAAGGTAAAGAGAAACATGGGCTGAGCTGTGGACTTTTCCCTGTCTGGAGGGCGCTGCCATTTTGAATGTTCACAAGTGGCTAGACCATTTTGGATATTTAAAGAGACAGCGCTCTTGCAAATTTCAGGGGCTTACGAACTGGTTCTGCTTGCCAGCAACCCCAAGGACACTCTGGACCTGCAAGACTGAAACGGTACGACATTCCTCTTGTTACTCTTATACCCCACACCCGCTTGGTGAACGGAGGTGCAGCCATCCCCCACTCAAACCCATCTTCTGGGCCTGCAAGAACTCCATCAGAGTCTGTGTGCTCAGAAAGAGCCTGGGTGCCCTGCCCTATCCTCCACTGATTTGTTTTCTCTTTTTTAATTTTTTTTTTCTTTTTATATATTTTTTTCTTTTTTGCTTCCTTTTTTCTGGTGATTAGTCTGCTTGTATTTGTATGTTTTAAAACAACTATTATTATTAATACTGTTATCCTTTTTACTTTATTCTTACTCTTCCACTCCCAGGTCCTAGTTCTCAGCTTCTTTTCTTTTCCCTATTCCTGGTAGAAATTTTT